GAGCACGTATGTGCCTTAACTGAAGCACCCACCACTGCCCACATCTGATCCACAGAAGCCAAGAGCGGCCAGTGGAGCCCCAGGATTGGTTCTGCAGCGAACCCTGATGTCAGGTCTGGGAATGGAGAGCTGGGGTGACACCCAGATCCCCCAGTGTCATGTCAGATCAATTTTCCTGCTCGCTTCTATTTGAGTCATCTGAGGTTTATTTTGATTCACTCTTTGCTGACTGCTAATGCCACCTCCTACTCTTTTCATGCAAGACTGGGCCAGGAAAGACGACGTCTCCAGAGCAGGAGTCCTGGGAACAGTCTCCCCCGATGGTTTCCAAGGAGAAGACACGGGGCGCCCAGGGGTGCTGCTTTTCCCCTACCCATTCCCACGGCAGCCTTGACACCATGTAGAAACGTTTCACAGCGCCTGCCTGACAGGCTGGCTGCCACCTTCCCTCTCTCCTCCCGGCTTGGCTCCTACCTCATTTCCCTTTTCACCAGTCCCTTGGTTGTACCTTTTTCTCTGTCACGATGAGCCCAGAGAAAATGATTTCTTAGAAGAAATGCCCATCAATCTCCTGCTGGCTCAGATGAGGAAACAGGTGCAGAGAGGTGAAGTAATGAATGCAGAGTCACACGGCTTCACAAGTCATTCAGTCAGAACACTCAGGACCCGAGAGAGCTCAATAGGCTGGAACACATGTTCTGCATGCAGGAGGCCTGAGTTTGTTCCCTGAGCATCAAGCCAGGAGTAGCTCCTGAGTACCACCAGGTGTGGCCCCAAAACAAGTCCATGGACTAGTTATGTGGCTCATAGAGCATGTGCTCCAGAGGTCTGAAGTTCCCAGTTTGATCTCCAGCACCACAAAACACTCTTAACCTTAAGAATTAGCTTGGGGCTGGAACGATAGTACAGTGGGAAGGGTGTTTGCCTTGAATGCAACTAACGGAATGCAGTTAAATGCAGTTGATTGAATTGAATGAATAGCTAATTGAATGCAGTTCAATCCCGGCGTCCCATATAGTCCCCGAGCACCACCAGAAGTGATTCCTGAGCTCAGAGCCAGGAGTAACCCGAGTATCACTGGGTGTGACCCAAAAAGCCAAAAATAAAAGTGAATTAGCTTGGATTGGAGCAATAGTACAGCTGTAAGGTGCTTGTCTTGCACATGGCCAACCTGGGTTCAATGCTTGGCTCCACATATGGTCTCTCAAGCTATGCCAGGACTGATCCCTAAGCACAGAGCCAGGAGTAAGCCCTGAACACCGCTGGCAGTGGTCCCCCAATAAGTCCCTGCTCAAATTTCAGGCTAACTCTCTGTAGGGAGATGGCTTGGTGGCAAAAAGTGCTAGCCTTAGAAACATGAGGTCACAGATTCAAACCCAGGGCCGCCCACAGTGCTGAGCATGGGCCTAGATGCTCTGCTGTTTGCAACATCCAGTGCCCACAACCAAGTGCAATCTCCAGAGCTCAGCAGCCGGTCGTGCGTGTGAGCACTGCAACCAGAGTGGGCAAGGACTGAGGCCGAGAGTGTGGTGCCAGCAATCGGGGGGTGAGAGCCACAGCAATCCCAGCCAGTACTTCAACCACAGCTCAATGAGTACAACCCCCAGCAAGCACATGTTCTAGCACGTAAAAGGTGTGATTGCAGGGAGCACCACACAAAGCATGTGTGCGACACCCAGTCACTACAATGACAAATGAAGGGAAGGGAATGGTGGGAAGGTTTACCTTGCACATCACCTTATCACATAGCCCTCCTCCTCTTTCTATCAAACCCTGGCTGGAGAGACAGCACAGGAGTTAAGGCACTTGCCTTGAATGTGGCTGAGCCAGGTTGAATCCTCAGCACTGCTTGGTCCCCCAAGCTGCACAGGGAGCAACCCCAACAATAGCTCACAATCTCCCTCAAAATCCAAATTCTCTCTATCTATTGCTGCTACCTTTAAAAAGTGACTTTATTTGATTATGTTGAGGGTTTTTTTTTAGGTGTGTATGTGGGGGTGAGGGAATTGGGCCACACACAGCAGTGCTCAGGAGCAACTCCTGGCTTTGCTGGAGGGCACCATGTGTGTGGTATTCAGGATCAAGCCAGGATTTGCTTATGTGCTGGGCATGCCCTTGTACGCTCTCTGCATCCTGGTTATTTTTTATTTATTTATTTGGGCTGGAGCGATAGCACAGCGGGTAGGGTGTTCGCCTTACAAGCGGCCAACATGGCCGACCTGAGTTCGATTCCTCCGCCCCTCTCGGAGAGCCCGGCAAGCTACCGAGAGTATTCGATATGCCAGACACAGTAACAACAAAGTCTCCAATGGAGACGTTACTGGGCCCGCTCGAGCAAATCGACGATCAATGGGAGGGCCTTTACCTTTACCTTTACCTATTTGCATCCTGATTATTTTAAATTTATTTTTGCTTTGGTTTTTTTGGGGGGGTCACACTTGATGTTTAAGGGCTACTCCTGGCTCTGTGCTCAGTATCAGGGTTGCATCTTTGAAAAAAATTTTTAGCTGTGGGTGGAGTTCACTGAAGGTGAAATGTCACTTTAGAGGGCTTGCAAACTTGACCTTGGTGCTCCCAAGGTGCTTTGTACTCCGTTCGCTGTGCAGGGGGCCAATAAGCTTAGTTTTAGTTGAGGCACACAGTTACAATGATGACATTGTGGAGGGAAGACAGGAGGGGTGTCACTGCTCATACACATGCTCCCCAGAGGTTGCACTTCTTGGCTCTGATGCTTGCACATCCTTTTAGTTCCTCATGACGGCTGACAGGGTTGCACCTGTGTTTGCTTACACCTGGCTGCAGTGCGGCTGGAAATCGTGGTGTCTGGGATTGAAGACAGCAGCTGCCAGCCTTGTGCTTGGTGCATTTGGGACACTAGGGATTTGAACGCTCAATGCCTGGCCATGTGCTCTCAAGGCAGCTCTCTGAGCCACTGCATTTCCCCAGACCCCTTTGCTACTTTATTTTGTCTGACTCATCTAATAGAATGTAAACTCCACGAGGGCCTGAGACAGAGCTGCCTTTTAGAGACACGCTCATTGTGTATTCTCAGTACGTAGCACAAAATGGGGTTAGAGAAATCTTCACTCTTTCAAAAAAAAAAAAGAAAAGGAAAGAAAAAAGAAAAGAAACAAAGAAATCTTTGCTGAATAAATGTAAAGAACAGTTGCCAGCAAGTCACCTGGGGATACTTGTTCTCAGAACAACAGAACCAGAACCCAAGAGGATGTGATCAGGCTCAGATTCGATAAGGGTAGCTGAAATCGGGGGCTAGGGGAGCAGAGACCTAAATCACCACCGAGAAACCAGGATAAGTCCGGGTGACACCCTGATTCAGGCCTGTTCTCTGCAGGGGCTGACAGCCCATGCACTCCTCTATCTCACAGAGTTCCTAGTACTCTAAGGCTGAGAGAGTGTGAGAGAAGGTCTACTGGTCAGCTGACAGCCAAGTCCATGGTTATCAAGGTTCCAGAGACAATTCTACACCTCCCAGCTTAGCCTTCCATCCTTTGTCCACTTCTGCTGTGGAAGAGAACTTGGGCTGGGTGAGGAAAGGTGATGCCTGCTGGACGCTCCCAAGACTAGATATCCCAGCTGTGTAGCTCGAGGGCAGGTGGGTTGTCCCATACTTGCCTCAGAACTATGAAACGGAGCTGGTGCTGGCAGGCAAAGGAAGGGAAGCCGGCAAGAGGATGAAGAAGGAAATTGGTAGAATCCCATCTTGGAAGAGAAATCTACCAGCCCCCCTGTAGGTTTCCCTGGGTGCAGCCAACTCCTCAATCCATTCTTTTCTCTACTGTAGGCAAATGACAGCTGCCTTTGCTTCCCAAAGGTCCCAAGCAGCCAGAACATTTTCTCTCCGTCCCCCTTCCAGAATCACTCCCTCACCTAACCCACAGGAATCAGAAAGGTGAGCTCAGGTTCTGGTATAGTGCCTTGCAAACCCCCCCCCCCCCCCCACACACACACACACACAAGATGGAACACTTCACAGCTAAGTCCCCTCCTGAGTCTCTGCCCTTCCTGGTACAGGACAGTCCCTGCAGGAAGAGCTAGAGGCCTCCACAGCTAGCTGCTCAGCCCCTACCAGCTGTCAGGCTGCCGCTGCCTCTGCCCACGTTTTTTAATCTATCAGGGAATAATCAATATGACTCACGAACACTTCCTGGGGACAGGGACCACCTGCACTTGTGATCCTTAGCCTCCCAGGTTTGGGAATTATCTCCACCTCAACTCCTCCAAGGTCACGTGGTGGGAAAGTGGCAAAAACAAAATAAACCAAAGAAAAACCAACCCCTGACCCCCAACTTGAGTCCCCTGCCTAGCGTTTTGGCAGGTGCTCAAATACGGTTTGTGGGGAAGGGTGAAATCTGTCGTTTCTTCATTCCGCCTGCCTGGCGGGTGCTTCTGAGGGCAGGGGGAAGTGCGAGGTGCAGAAGACAGCTGTCCACCTTCTCAGTGAACCTCTGACCTCCTTGTTCACGCACATTTCTGGAAAAGTTACTGATTTCCCGTGAATCTCGGACTGCGCCCCAAGGCCAGCAACGTCTCGATCATCACACCAGCGCTCCCTGCCCCCAGCGCCAGGAAGAGTCGGTCGAATAATTTTCCTGCTCCAAAGAGTCCAGACCACAAGCACCGAAATAAAAAGCCTCCCCAAATAGACACCCCCCAGGCCCAAAGCACCACCCGAGCAGCGGCACGGTCCACCGGCACCCCCCCACCCCCCGCCGCACGCCGCCACGCCACACTGCGTTAGGGAGGCGGCGGGGAGGGGGCGCGGCGCGCTGCGGGGCGCCGGGGGGCGCCGGGCGCTCGGCCAGGCCGGGCAGCACCGCGGGGGCCCCGCCGCCCCTCGCCACGTGCCGGGGGCGGCCGCGGGGTCCCGGGCGCCTTCCCAGCCGGAGCGAGCAGGAGCAGCCGGGGAGGAGGAGGCGGCGGCGGCGGAGGAGGAGGAGCGGGGCGGGCGGCAGGGAGGGGGGCTGGGGGGAGGGGTGGGGGGTGGGGAGAGACCCGGCGGCGGCGACAGGGCGCGAGCCGAGCGCGGTGCCAGGGGGGTGGGGGCACCGGTGCCCGGCTGGGGAGGGAGCAGGCGGAGGGGGGAAAAGCTGCGATTACAAGCAGGAACCGGCGGCGGCTGTGAGTCCCCGGCGGGGGCTGGGGCGGGGGGCGGGCCGCGGCCCGGGGGTCGCGGGGCGGCCCGGGGCACGGGGCGGGGGGTCGGCCCGCAGTTGGCCCGGGATGGCCGGGAGGGGAAGGGTCCGGCGCCGGCCGACCGCCTTCCCCGCGTTCTCCGTCCTCCGCCGCTCCTCAGGCCGCACCGCCACGGGAGCCCCTTCTTGGGCCTGGAGCCCGCGGGGCTGGGGGCCACCGGGTGGGGGGCTCGGCCAGCCGTGGGGGAGGGGGGCTGCGCGCTCTGCGCCCCCGGAGAGGGGAGGGGCGACAGTTTCTGTCGGCCGAGCCGAAGGGGTTTAAAAGGCTCCTCTTAAAGGGGCCGCCGAAGGCCCCCCCACCTGCCCCCCCACCCGGGCCGCCTGGGCACCCCCTCCTCATCCGCTTTCCCGGCTCTCACTCGCGCTCTGGGCCCGGGAAAGGATGCAGCAGCAGGGAACATTTGTCGGAGCGGCCTAGGGAACAGAACTCGCCCCCCGCCCCCCCACAAGTGGGCTGGTGGGGTCGACGTGGCTGGCAGAGGGTGGTGGGGGGTGCAGTGAGCAGAGTGGCGGGGTGGGGGCTGGCCCGGGGAGGAGGGGGTTAAAGGTGGGGCCGGCCCGACACACCCGCGCGCGCTCCTTCCTCGCTTCCTCGGACCCGGCCCGGCGCCCCGGGCGCTCACGCCTCCCGCCGAGCCCCCTGGCCGCCCCGCGCGCGCGCGCACCCCGCACATTCCCATAGTGCCTCACGTGACTCCGGCCCCGCGTGCCCACCCTCCACTCACGCTCACGCCGGCGTGCACACGCGCGCGCACACGCACTCACACACACATGCACACGCCCGCCACTTCCCAACTCCGGCCCCGCAAAGGCGCTCATTGACTCTGACACACCTACACTCATTCACAGACACACACACTCCCCCCACACACGCCGCCCCAGACACATTCATAAACAGGCCCTGGAGAAGTACACACGCACGCACGCACCCCTCGCCTACTCTTTCGGGAGCCCTGAGTCATTCCTGCCCCCTCCCGGGGCTCCCCCTTTTTCCTGCGGGCAGGCTCTCTCAGGCCGGGCCAGGGAACTCTTTGGCCCCTTGCACGTGAGCGGGGCCGGCTCAGAGCCCCGCTCCGCCCCTCTGTGTTCCCTCTACTGGCGAGGCTTCCTGTGGGTCCCAGGTCAGGGGGGGTGGGGGGGGGGCTGGCGAGGGTGGGGGCGGTGCTTCCTCTTCCTGAGCTCTGGGATCCTGCAGGAGGAAGTTGGGAAGTTGGGCGGGGGCCTCAGGACGTGCTGTGCCCTGCCACCCCGCCGCCGTGCCACCGCGTCGCCCATGGTGGGGCAGAGCCTCCCAGAAGGTCTGAGCTGGGAGGCCAGAGGCCGGGGATGAGGAGCTGGGCCCAGAGGTAACTGGGGGAACAGGGCCTGTGGGGCAAGAATTGAGGGGTGAGCCGGGACAGGCCCTCGTTGTCCTGTGCTGGGAAGGCAGCTCTTCCTGGGCAGGAAGGAGCCTTAGCTGCTGCCAGCCGGGCTCTGTTTGTCCCCACCCTGCCGGTCTTTACTTGGTCTCAGCCTGTACTCCCCAAATTCGCAGGGAACAGAAGCGGGGTGGGGGGCAGGGGGCTTAGTTCGGGAGGGGCTGTGGGAGATGGAAGCTTCTAGACTGGTCACAGTTCCAGGCCACAGGGTGTTAGTGACAAGCTCCAGGCTGCCCTCTCCGTTGCTGCTCTCCCAGGAGCCCCAGGGGGGCCCACGGGCCTGGCCCTTGCCATGGAGTCCATGTTTGAGGATGACATCAGCATCCTGACCCAGGAGGCCCTGGGGCCCGGTGAAGTGTGGCTGGATGCCCCTGAAGACCCCTCGCTGGGTGGGGACATGTGCTCTGCCTCCCACTTTGCCCTCATCACGGCTTACGGGGACATCAAGGAGCGGCTGGGCGGCCTGGAGAGGGAGAATGCCACGCTGCGCCGACGCCTAAAAGTCTACGAGATCAAGGTCAGAGTGCGGCCACTTGAGGGGGTAGGGTGGGGCAGGAACTGGCATCCTGCAGGGCATCCGAGAAGGCTCGGACCCTCGGGAGCTTGAGGGACCCCCATGGGGTGAGGAGGGGGTGAAGCCGGCCTGGAGATCCCAGCTGCCACCCAGAAGGGTCCTGGAGGACTAGCTGGAGCAGTGCCACCTCGGATCTAATGGGCCAGTGGGCAGGAGCCCCGTGTGATTGGGTCCTGCGGATGGGGGTGGCAAGGATTCAGGGGCAGGATGTAGATGGGGCTCAGTGAGACGAAGTCTGGGCTAAGCGCCGGGCACCACCTTCCTGAAGGCCTGTGTTGCCCGCAGTATCCACTGATCAATGACTTTGGAGAGGAGCATAGCTTCTCCCTGTATGAAATCAAGGATGGCTCCCTGCTGGAGGTGGAGAAGGTCAGCCTGCAGCAGCGGCTCAACCAGTTCCAGCAGGAGGTGAGTCCCTGGCAGGCCTTCCAGCCCCCTACCATACTCCTCAAGCCTCTTCAGTGCCTGACGCCCCCACCCTTTCCCACGCTGCCAGGAACAGGGGTCTGGCCTTCAATGCAGTCCTCTTGATCAGAGAAAGCAGGGCAGGGGGCTGGGAGGGAGGGGTCCTTTGACCCAGCTGCCACTCCTCCTGCCCCCCCCCCCGCCCCCGGGTCCTGGGAGTGGTCCAGGAAGCTTCTTGGCCTCCCACTTCAGGATGGGTCTGACTGGGGTCTGCACCCCCCACCCCCCTTGGGTCCCCCTCCAGTTGCAGAAGAATAAGGAGCAGGAGGAGCAGCTCCGGGAGGTGATCCAGGCCTATGAGAAACTGTGTGTGGAGAAGAGTGACCTGGAAACGGAGCTGGGCGAGATGGTGAGGCTCAGGGTTCTGGAGTGCATGGCCTGTGGGTCCCAATGTCCATCTGTCCAGTGGTGTGTGTGTGTGTGTGTGTGTATGTGTGTGTGTGTGTGTTGTTCTGATTGTAAGGGATTCTATAAACCATGGACACACTGTCACCCTATAGGATGTTGTGTCCCTGCATGGGTGTGGATGTCAGCTGGGGTGGCCCTGTAGTATGGTCCCTGGCAGACACAGTGAGTGAGGGCAGAGGGGCTCGGGGGGTGACCAGGTATGATTCTGAGCCCATGGACGCCAGATCTGAACCAGTGCGCAGGGCCAGAAGCCCGAGATGTGGGTCTCTAGCTACTCCTCGCTGTGACCTCAGTCACCTCGCTCTAGCCTCTGAGAAAGAGCGCCAACCCCGCCACCGCTGGGGTGCAAATGCCTTGCTCTTATGCTCAGCGCGCCTGCATGCAGTGGAGCCCTTCTTATCTCTGGAGAGACTCGCTCATTCTCCCAGTGATAACCCCGTCAGATGGGGAGGCGTGGTTTTCCCCATCTGAGAGATGAGGTCTATGATGGCGGGCATGGTTTGCCCTGATGCACAGGAAACCCTCAAGCTCTTTGCGGATGGGTCACGGGGTGGGGGTGGAGGAGGGGGGTGTTCGAATGAGGGACCAGGCGTTCCTGGGGGCCAGGGACGGGGTCTGGCCTGCATTGCAGTGGCGGGGAGCAGACCTCACATGGACACTCAAAGACCGGTTTGGGGGTGGTGGGGTGAGGGGCTGAGGGGAGTGAGGGCTCACCAGGCACAGGACCCCTCACCCCTGGGTCTCCTGCAGCGGGCCCTGGTGGAGACCCACCTACGGCAGATCTGTGGGCTGGAGCAGCAGCTGCGGCAGCAACAAGGCCTGCGGGATGCGCCCTTCGCCAGCCGAAGCCCACCGCCCGCTGCCACCCCGCCCTGCGCAGACCTGGACGTGCATTACCTGGCCTTGAGAGGGGGGTCCAGCCTGAGTCACGGTGAGTTCCCCATTCCCTCTGCCCCAACACACACACGCACACGCTCCAGCTTCCTCTTCCAGAGCACTGGAGCACCATTTCTTTTTTTTTTCTTTTTGGGTCACACCCAGCAATGCTCAGGGGTTACTCCTGGCTCATGCACTCAGGAATTACTCCTGGCAGTGCTCAGGGGACCATATGGGATGCCAGGGATCGAACCCGGGTGGGCCGCGTACAAGGCAAACGCCCTACCCGCTGTGCTATTGCTCCAGCTCCTGGAGCACTATTTTTTCACAGTCAGCTCATGCTTTCTTTTTTTCTTTTTTTATATAAATTGACTCTTCCCTCCCCTCACTCACTAGTACTGGGATAGCTCCCACTCCATCCTTGGGGCTCAATCCTAGGTTACCCCCATGCGATTCCTGTTTCTACCAGAAGAGGGCGCCCCCACCCAGAGTGCGGCATGTCTAAGGCTGTGTGTGATGAGAGGAAGCCCCCGAGGATGTTTGGACACTTGGGTCAGGCCAGCAGAGACCCCCGAGGAAGGTCGGGAAGAGTCCCTGACCTCTCCTTCCCCACTGCCCTCTGGGGGCTGAAATCAGGCTGTGTGGCTCTCGGGTTCTCCCCTGCTTCAGCCTATGCCCTTCTGGGAGTGGGCGGAGGGGGCCCTGAGCAGAACCCAGCCTGACCGCATGCTCTACCCCACCAGCCGGCTGGCCGGGCCCTGCACCCAGTGTGAGTGAGCTGGAGCGGAGGCGGCTGGAGGAGGCTCTGGAGGCTGCCCAGGGAGAGGCCCGGGGAGCTCAGCTGCGCGAGGAACAGCTCCAGGCCGAGTGCGAGCGGCTGCAGGGGGAGCTAAAGCAGCTGCAGGAGACCCGGGCTCAGGTGAGCACTGGCTGGTGGGTCTGGGGGCTCCTGGAGGTCAGACAGGGGGGCCCGGGAAGGCAGGGGGCCTCACCTCCCCAACTTCTCCCTCAGGATCTGGCTTCCAACCAGTCGGAGCGGGACATGGCCTGGGTGAAAAGAGTCGGGGACGATCAGTAAGTCATCCGCTGACCTTGGGGGCCCGCCCCCTCTGCCAGGGCCATTGTGTTTGTCTTGTGAAGCACCATAGGGAGGGGGGGCTCCTTTTTTGGGATATTCCCCCTCCTTTCCTTGGCCCCAAGTCTGTTTTCTTGATGCGTCAGGGCCAGAGAAATGCTTCAGCTGCCGCCTGGCTGCTGTGCTGTGTCCACTGGCCGCTGAGTTGCCCCATTTTCTCTCCCAGCAATAAGGCCTGGCCATTGTTGGGGTTAGCCATGTCCTGGAGACCAACTCTTTGGGGGTGTATTATACCCATCCTCCTATCCAGGAGAGGGAGGTGGGCCTTGAATTCAGGCAGCAGCAGGTGGGGGGTCCCTGTGGAATTCTGCAGAAAGGAAAGGCCCCCGGAAGTGAGGGGTCATTGTCCATGAGGGGCCTGCTGCAGAGGGCCTGTGTGGAGCCCAGGGCCTTTTACATCCGCACCAAGCTCACCCTCTCCCACTTTCTGAGAAATGGGGTGCAAACCTCCTTCCGCTGAAACCCCTGTGAGGTGGCACATGGCATCAGCATCCTCCTTCCACCCAGGGGGCCTGAGCACTCACCTCACAGGGTCCCCCAAACACCTCAGGTATGGCCGGCCCTCCAACAAGTAGGCACCCCCAAGCCAAAAAAAGACCATTCCTCCTGCCTTCCTCAGTGGGGTGGGTTTGAGGGCAGAGACCCACCTTCATGGGGTCACCCGTGGGACAAGGCTCTTCCTCCTGACGCTCTTTTTAGTTTTGAAATGGAAGGAAACCCTTATTCTTTTATTTTTTTAAAAATATTTTCTGGGGGCTGGGGGGGTGCTTTTCCCTGCCAATGCTAGGGGCTGCCAGAGCTACATTCAGTGGTGCTCATATACGAGGGATCCAAGCCTGGACCCTGTGCATGCCAGGCAGGTGCTCCCCGACCCTCCTCCCAGCTGCGGGCTGGTCAGGAATGAGGGAGAGGGACTGGCTGGGAGCTGTGAAAGCAGGAGGAGCTGGAGGCTGAGACCCCTCAGTGAGGCTGCTGAGGAGACTTGGGGGAGCTCCGCAGGGAGGGGTCACTCTGAGCTTGTGGCGGGGGTTCTGACCCCATCCTAGCCCGTGTGCCCAGCAGAGACCCCTCAGCATGCCCTTAGAAGCCACGTCTTCGCGTCCCTCTGGCTCTGAGAAGACTCGTTCTTAGAAGCCCAGCAGTGAAGACTTTTAGAAACCCAGCAGCGATGGGTTTCCCCCAAGGAGTTGTGTACCCCTAAAGGACTTTAGGGAAGTGCTAAAACTCACTCAACTGGGTCTCAAATCCCATCCTGGGAGCCGGTGTCCGGCCTTCTGGCTTCACTTGTCCCGTTCTAGGGTCTTCCTCACACTCCGAGGTCAGTGGTGCTGAGATGTGAGGGGAAGATGTGAGAGAAAGTGGAGGCCACTCAGGCGCAGCGGATTCCAGAGGCCCAGCTAGTAACTGAGAGCGTGAATCCCCTCCCCCTTCAGATGTGTTTTGGGGGCCCTTGGCCTGGCCAGAGCAACCCCTCAGGGGTGCCCGGTGCCTTCTGCCCAGCAGGAGTTGGCCTATGCCTGGACTGCACTGCTCTCTGCCTCGGGCCGCTGGGCCCAGCCAGCCCTGTGGCGAGTCTCCGGACAGCCCCAGGCTGGCAAAGCTCGCTCTCAGAGGAAGTTCTCCCTCCCCCAGAGTTTTATTTTCTCATAAACGTGGCTCCTTTTGGTAACAGGTCGCTCCTGGGTGCTCCCTCCGCGTCCTCCCATCACCTGCTCTCAGATCCCCCAGCCCCTCCTTTCCCTCAGCCTGACCCCCCAAAGCCAATGATAGTTTGCCCCGTGGGCTCTCCCCAGAGTGGAACTCGGGGCCTGGGGGCACCAAAGGTATGCAGTCAGGGTGCGACACTCAGCGTCCAGGGGATGTCCAAGCTGATGGTCTCAGAGGTTCCTGAGTCCAGCCTGCGCCTGTCCCCCACCCAGTGTGGACTGAGTTTACATACCCCCCTTCCCGCCTTTACTAGCCCCCCACTGTGAGCAGCCTTGGCCCCAGCCCAGCCCCTGACCCCCAAACTCCAATCATTAGCATTCCTCTGAAAAGGGGTGTCCATCCGGACCAGACTGTTGCTTCCCCACCTCTGACCTCCGGACTGTTTAGTTACCCCAGCATCTAGTGGCCAGTGTCCAGGGCAGGGGCAACTGTCCAGAGGAAGAGCCACTTGGGGTGACTCAGGAGCCAGAGGCAGGAGGTGGGAGTGGGGACCACCTCCTCGGGAGGCTGCCTGAGCAGGAACCCCCGCAGGACCCGCTGAAGGTGGAGGGGCCGCTGGGGAAGGGGCTCCGAGGGGGGCCTTGGGGACTTGGCATGCAGAACAAGGGGCAGGGGGAACTCTAGGCTTTTCTTCCCCTGCCAAGGTGGGGGGCTCAGTCTTGCAGCCCCAGCTCTTCCGCCCACCCCCACCCCCCTCTCTCCGCCCACAAGCCTCTGCGTGGGCTGCGGTTAGTGGTGGGGGAGAAGTGTGAACTGAGAGAGGATGGAAACTGCACAGAGGTCAAGGGCAGCGTGGGGTGGGTCAGGGCGGAAGTCGGAGACCCCCGTGTACCGGGAGCTTAGCCTCCGAGTCCCCCCCTTCACGCTTCTCACCCTCCCAACTTCCTTTCTTTCACATCTCCAGTCAGGGCAGCTGGGGCTCACAGGGAAGAAGCCCTGAGGGCAGGGGCTCCCTGGGGAGGAGAGCAGGCGTGGTAAGGGGGGCGTTCCCTCCCACCTCCCCCCGTGGTTCTCACCTGCTGTGTGCGGGACGGATGGACTTGGGACAGGTCTCTGGTCCAGCCCCACTGCCCCGCTCTGGCCACCAACCAGCATCTTCCGGTTCCCCCCTGCTCCCGGGCCTCCTCCCTCACCCTCAGTCTGCGCAGACACAAAGGGAGGCAGGATCTCATTGAACTCTCCCAAAACAAAGGAATATCCCCACTTTACTGAGTAGATGGGCAAAGGAATATCCCCTCTTTACTGATCAGATGGGGTTTAGAGGCCTCGCGGCAGCGTCTAGGAAAACCCCCCTGCCCCCTGCCCCTCCCCATGAGGAACATCAGAGGATCTCTTGGCCAGACAGGATCACTTTTGAAAGGGGCACTAATATAATGACACGGGGCAACTGGGGTGCAATGGGACAGCCCCCCTGAGACTTCCCCGCCTGGTATACGCCCTGCTTCCATGCTGTACAGGCCACAGCTTTGGCTGGTGGCCATGGGGAGCTGGTGCTGGGGCCCCGAGAGTTGCAGCGGGGAGGAGCCCAAAGGGGCTCTTGGGGTGCCTGAGAGGAAGTGGTGGAACATGCCGGCGGCTGCGGAGCGACTTCCTCCTCCTCCTCCCCCCCGGCCCACAACCTCAAGTCCGCTCAGCTCCACAGCCCTGGTGCCTGTGGTCCCTCCCCAAGGGTCTGGCGGGAAGACTGAGACTGGGTGTGTCTGCGGGGTGGAAACTTGGGTCCCTAAGTTGCCCCTTGTGGGGTGGCGGGGGAGGGATCTGGGGGTACAGGCCAGGCGGGACCAGGCTAGGAGGTTTGGAACGCTGGGCTGGATATCATCTGTTTCTGCTGAGTCGGATCCTGTCCCGCATCCTAACCCAAACATCACCCATCCCTAACCCGAACCTCATCCCCTGCCCTGATCCCAGCGCCATCCACAGTCCTGACCAAGAAACCAACTCTCAGCCCCAGCCCTGGCCTGACTCCAGCAGCCGACCTCAGGCCTGTGCTCAGTCCTGACCCCGTGTCCTGGGGCTGACCCGCAGCCCCTCCCTGCAGTGTTTTTCCCCAGGGGATTGCTGCTCTCTGAAGCCCGTGTGCTTCCTGGTGGATTGGGGGCTGAAAGAGGGCCGAGTTCTGGGGAGGATATTGGGATCTAACCCTTCTCAGCCCCACACCTCTGTCTGTGTGACGGTGAAGATGATGGTCTCCAGTCTGATGTTTGAGATCCCTGAGCTGTTCGTGGAAAGAATGAGTGAAAGCTGAGCGGATGGAAGAGGGAAAGGTTGGCTGTGGAGGGGCCCGCCTTCCTGCCAGCGCTGCCATTTGCACTCTGGCTCCCCCGGAGGTGCCAGCTCAGCAGGCAGAGGTGCCAAGAGCATCTTTCTCCCTGCTCTCTGCCCCCGCCGTGCTGCGACCTTGAGCCAGCCATGGAGTGAGCAGCCCTGAAGCTGCACACAGGGTTGGCAGTGCCTTTCTGTCCTCTGGCAGGGCTGCTGCCGCTGCCCAGGTCCCAGGTGCCCAGCCTCTTCCTCCTCATCCTCTCCCCCGCCCTTTCCCTGATTCGTCTGGAAGGCACTATTCAGTGCAGCAGTTCACAGCCTGATCGAGGGCATGCAGAGCATGAGAGTGACCACCCATGCAGTGGGAATTCCAGATGGAGGGGACTCCACTTCTGTGCATCTCTGGGGTCCCTCTTCTGAGAAGTGGGGGGAACAGCAGCAGCACTGATGGGGGGACATCAGAGTAGAGAGCCTCCTCCAGGTCACACATACACAGGCACACACATGCACACAGTCACAATCACGTGTCTCACATATGCCCATACAGACACACACACAGTCACACATGCTCATAAACACTCACTTGCTCACACACACACTTGCTCATGCAGGAACACCCACACAGGCACGCATGCTCATAGGTACACATACAGTCACACACACACACACACACACACATATGCTCTCACATGCTCACACAGGCACACTCACAGTCACATACATTCACATAGGCATATTCAGACACATGCTCACACAGGCACACTCACAATCACACGCTCAGACACACATGCTTTCATACGCACTCAGACGGGCAAACTCTGACACAGTCATACATGCTCACACAGGTACACTCACATTCACACGCATGCTCACACATGCACATATGCTCATACATTCTTAAGCTCACATGTACTCACACGTAGCCATATACTCACATTGACACACATGCTAACTCTCACACATGCTTACTCCTACACGTTCACATGCTCACAGTGCTCAAATACATGCTTGACTTGTTTACACGGACACATGTTCGCTCATACATACATACACACAGGTGGTTCACACACGCTCACACTGCCCATATTTTAGACAGTTCAGGGTTTTCTCAGCGTCCCACCAGGTTCTGAGAGACTCCCCCATCACGTAAGCCATCAGGAGGCACCCAAGGGTGTCTGCCGCCCTGCACCTGCCCCTCCTTCCCAGGCTCTTGAGACGGTGGAAAATAGCGCTCAGGTGTGGGCCGGAGGAAGTGCAGCGGCTCTGGGTGCACGTGAGCCGCTCCTGGCTGGGCTGCCAAGTTGAGATTTTTTCCACTGAATTGGCAGTGTGTTTTCTACTCTTGAGTCATTCAGGTCGTGAGCGCATGTAGCAGCCTGGGACCTTCACCCTGGGAGGTGGGGTGGAGGCCTCCCAGCCGCTTCCCTGCCAAGGGGCTCAGGGGGCTCTAGCTGGCCTGGCCCAGGGGCATCTCCCTTCACTTCCTGCTGCCCTGCTTTTGCTTTGAGGACAGTAGTAGGAACAGGGTGGTAGCAACTGAGGTAACTCCTGGCAAGGGAGAGGGAGGGGCGGGGGAACTACTGTGGCAGGTGAGAACTCCCAGCTGGTGTAAAGTGCTCTGGCACCGGAGAGTCCGCACTCAGGGGCCCAGGGAGAAACTGGCTTGGTCAGGGAAGTATGCACCCCAAGCCCCCCAACGCCCTATCACTGAGGGGCGGGGAAGAGCCTCTGCAAGCCCAGCTCAGGGATGGGGACACAGCTCCCCTGGTTGCTGTCCAGGTGAGGGGTGGGAACACTGGACCCCTCCAGCAAACTCAGCGCGGCTCACAGGGGCTCCCTGCTCCTGTCCGTCCTTTTAGAGTGCCGGCCTCCAGCCCCCTGCGTCTGCCTCAGCACTGTGGGAGACACCTGGCCCCTGAGCTTGTAAGAACCGCCAGGGAGGGAGAGAGAGAGGAAGCTCAGGCGCACCCCTCGGGCCCTTCCTGCTCCCCAGAGCCCCAGTTGCTCCTCCACGGTCACTAACGCACTCAAGTGCACATTCACTGATCACACACTGATCACTGTCCTCCTGTTGTTCATCGATTTGCTCGAGCGGGCCCAGTAACGTCTCCATTGGAGACTTTTGTTGTTACTGTGTTTGGCATATCGAATACATCACAGGTAGCTTGCCAGGTTCTGCCATGCGGGCGAAATACTCTCGGTAGCTTGCTGGGCTCTCTGAGAGGGGCGGAGGAATCGAACTCGGGTCAGCCATGTTGGCTGTGTGCAAGGCAAACGCCCTACCGCTGTGCTATTGCTCCAGTCCACATTCACACGTATTACATACCCACATATTACATATTACATATGTAATACCCACATATACCCACATACTACGTATTACATATCCACATTCACACGTATTACATACCCACGCTTACTCACCCAACACATATGCACATGCTCACTCACATACACTTACACACGCATTACATACCCACGCTTACTCACACAACACATACGCACATGCTCACTCACATACACTTACATATCTTCACACACACAACGCATTCATGTACTTATCCACTACTTACACACATACACATGCTCACTCACACCCATATACACGCTCACACACACGCACTTATACACTTACACATGTTCACACACATGATCAGCGTATACTCACACATATACATGCTCACACTCGCATGTTCCCACACATGCTCATACTTACCCTCACGCATGCTCACACAACACACACACATGCTCATATGTAATCATGCTTACATCATACTTCACATGCTCATACACACCCTTACACATGCTCACTCACACGCACTCACTCATGCTCACATCAGTCCTCACACCTTCACTCCTTCCTAGCCGCTGTCTAGCTCCAACTAGTCAGAGAAAAGCAGAGCTGGCATAGCCCCTTCTGGAAACCAGATTCCTGCCTCCCGGGCTCTCCCAGCCAGAATAGAGATGAAGACGGAGAACCCATCCCTGGCGGAGCCTTTAGTGAGCTCAGGAGGAGTTCCTGCAGGGAGGAACCTCCAGTGCTCTGGGGCAGAGACCCCAAGAGAAGGGAAAAGAGGGCAGTTTCTCTGCCCTGCTCAGTCTGCCCTGAGGTGGGCACTAGGAAGAAAGGAAAGTGGATGGCTCGGTTCCATTCATCCTCCCAGTACCAGGGTCCTGACCAGATATAGAGAGCTGTGACCTCCACCATTCAGGACCTTTGCCCCAAGCTCCAGAATTGGGCAGCCTCTGGCGAGCCTGTGAGGGGAGCCCTGGAGGTGCGCGGTGACAGTTCACTGAGTTCTCTGCAGGGGACTCAGGCTGCAGAGAAGCTCAGAGGCTGCTTGGAGGCGGAGGCAAGAGCAGTGGGCTGGAAGTAGGCAGACTTTTAAAAATTATTATTATTGAATCACAGTGAATTACAAAGTTACTCATGATTGTGTTTCGGCCATATGGTGTTCCAACACCCATCCCTCCACCAATGTCTCTTTTAGGCACTGTGGTTTACGATACTGTTACTGACAGGGTATCATGAATGTCACTTTACCTCCCTTCAGTCCCACTCCAGAGGGACCATTCCCTTCTGTCATTGTCCTAGTGGACCCTTCCCTGGCCTATCCCCCACACCACCCAGTAGCAGGCTTTCCACTCGGGACCACTTCTGCTCTTCATTTCTGTTGCCTTTTAGCATTAGTTGTTCCCCGTACTATTCCTGTATATCCTGTATATGAGTGAGATCGTCCTGTCTGACCCTCTCCCTGTGATCCACTTCACTCAGCACGATACTCTCCAGATCCATCCATGTATCAGAAATTTCATGACTTCATATTTTATTTTATTTTATTGCTTTTTTGGTCACACCCAGCGATACTCAGGGGTTACTCCTGGCTCTGCACTCGGGAATTACTCCTGGCTGTGCTCGGGGGACCATATGAGATGCCGGGAATAGAACCTGGGTTGGCCACATACAAGTCAAATACCCTCCCTGCTGTGCTATTGCTGCAGCCCAACTTTGTCTTTTCTTACAGCTGATTAGTCCTCCATGGTGCAGATGTACCATAGTTTCTTTATCCAGTAATCTGTTCTTGGGTACTTGGGTTGTTTCTAGATTTTGTCTATTGTGAATAGTGCTTCAGTGACCAGAGGCATGCAGAGGGCTTTTCTGTATTGTATTTTTGGGTCCTTGGAGTGTATTCCCGGGAGTGGACTAGCTGGGTCATATGGTGGCAGCTCAAATCCTTATGTTTTGAGGAATGCCCGTATTGTCTTCCCAAAAGGCTAGGCCAGGTGACTGGACGTGGCAGACTTGTGTGCCAGTTTATCAGTTGGCACCTCTGCCAAGAAAGAGGCCTTGTCTTCACTTATGGAATGGGCTCTTCATAGGCTATGAGGGGGGTCCCTGATCTTTCCAGAATGAGCACTTTTTCCAGGGCCTGCCCCTGACACATGGATCACACTCTACCTTTCATGCTCTCTGCGAGAAAATTCTCAGCAACTAAAGCTACTGTGAATGTGATGGCACTTTTTTCTTGGCGGTCGGTGGGTGGGTTGCGTCCATATCCGGTGGTGCTCTGGGGTCACTCCTGGCTGTACTTAGGGGGACCATATGTGTGCTTGGAGATAGAACCAGTGTTGGCCGCAGGGCCCTAGCCCCTCCATGCCACCCCTGCAGCGTCGGTATCCACACAGCTTGTGCACCTAGGGAAACACTCTTCAGGTAGGAGAGGTGCTCAGAGGTCCCACCCAGCGCCGCAGGTTGGGACCCCAGAGTCCCGAGGCTCCCCAGCCTCATTCCCCACAGTCAGGGAACCGAGGCCCAAAGAGGCCCAGAGCGCACCACCGTTGAGAGGGGAGAGCTGCTGGGGTGCAGGAGCCGCAGGTCAGGGTCAAGGCCGGCAAGGGGTGCAACCTTGACCCTGGGGGTGTGGGCCGCTGTGCAGGGTGAACCTGGCGCTGGCGTACACGGAGCTCACAGAGGAGCTGGGCCGGCTGCGGGAGCTGAGCGCGCTGCAGGGGAGGATCCTGAGGACGCTGCTGCAGGAGCCGGCGCGGAGTGGCGGTGAGGAGGCGCCGTTCCCGGGAGCAGGGCGGGGGTACCCTCGGGCCCGGCCCGGTCCGCTACACCCCCTCCCCTTTCTCTTCCAGGCCAGAGGCACTCGCCGCTGTCGCAGCGCCACTCGCCCGGCCCCCAGTGCCCCTCGCCGTCCCCTCCGGCCCGAGCGGCGGCCCCGTGTCCCCCGTGCCAGTCCCCCGGGCCCCAGCGCCGCTCCCCCGCGCCCCCGTGCCCCTCGCCCCAGCAGCGCCGCTCGCCGGTGCCGCCGCCCTGCCAGTCCCCCAGCCCGCAGCGCCGCTCGCCCGCGCCCCCGCCGCCCGGCCCGGCCGCGCCGCCCGCCGAGCGGCCCTACGCCAAGCCGCCCAGCCACCACGCCAAGGCCGGCTTCCAGGGCCGCCGCAGCTACTCGGAGCTGGCCGAGGGCGCGGGCTACGCGGGCGCCGCGCCCGCCTGGCTGCAGGCCGAGGCGGCCACGCTGCCCAAGCCGCGGGCCTACGGCGGGGAGCTCTACGGCGCCGGCCGGCCGCTCAGCCCGCGGCGCGCCTTCGACGGCCTCCGCCTGCGCTTCGAGAAGCAGCCGTCGGAGGAGGAGGAGTGGGCCGTGCCCACCGGCCCGCCCAGCCCCGACGTGGGCACCATCCGCTGCGCCTCCTTCTGCGCCGGCTTCCCCATCCCCGAGTCGCCCGCCGCCACCGCCTACGCCCACGCCGAGCACGCGCAGTCCTGGCCGTCCATCAACGTGAGTGGACACTTGCCCCCCCCCAGAAGGTCGCTCAGGGCCTCCCCGCTATCCCCCTGGGCATCGCCGGGCGCCTTCACCTCCCCCCTCCCCCATGTCACGAGTGACAGCGCCCAGTAGGATTCCTGACAACACCACTGAGTGGCTGGTCTCCATGACCCACACGGAGCCAGCTGGGTTTTCACCTGTGAAATGATGGGGTGAGGCTGTCTGGGTGGGTCAGGCAGGGCCACCCAGCGGAGCCTGCCCTCCTACCTCAAGCCCCTGCTTCTTTCTCCCTCACTCCACCATTCCCCAGAATTTCAGAGATTCCTAGGTCAGAGCCACCCTCCCCCACAACCCCCAGGACAGAAACAAGCAGACATGGCAGTGGGGAGGGGGTGGTTGAGATGATCTGGGAGTTGAGATTACTTTGGAGCAGGGTGGAGGCCAGGGGACACTGGCTCTGGCCCTTCCTTGTAGCACCCCGACTCCCCGGGGACCCTTGAGGGGGTCGGGGTCAGGCTGCCCAGGTTTCTTACTCGGGTCCCAGCAGGGGTGACCGGGGCTGTGGGAGCAGGTCAGGGGGCATGTGTAACCCCCACCCCTCTCTCCACAGCTCCTGATGGAGACCGTGGGTTCCGACATCCGCAGCTGTCCCCTCTGCCAGCTGGGTTTCCCCGTTGGATACCCCGACGATGCCCTCATCAAACACATTGACTCCCACCTGGAGAACAGCAAGATCTAGGGCGCGCCCCTGCCCGCGGCCGTCTCTGCCCGTGCCATCGCCCCCAGACACTCACTCACTTTGAATGCTGCATGAATCTCGTGGAGGGGCCCGACCCCTCGCCACCCCAGGTACCCCCACTAGCTACCAAGCCCGCGTGTGTGCCGGCCTCCTGGTTCCCCGGGTCCGAGGCTGAGGTGGGGGTGGGGCGGCTGCGGCGGGCAGAGGAAGGGTGTCCCTCTGCCGGGCTGTTTTCAAGTGGGGTTGGATCCCAGGAGGTGTCTAGTGCTTGGACCTGGGGGGCCGAGAGGGTCTCAGAGGGCTCCGGGAGCGCCCCCTTCCCTCCCCGACACCCCTTTCTCAGGCGGAGTTCTGTCTGGGGCTCCCCTCCCTGGGGGTGCCAGCTCCTCTCCCCCGCTCCCCTGGCAACTCAGGGCTCCTGGCCGGGGGCCCCCCACCCGGGGAAAGAGGCATGTCCTGCCATTCCCTGGGGGCCAGCTCGCCTGGGGAATAGGTGGGTGACAGGAGGGGGCACCCCAGCATCCTGGGAGGATGTGGCCAAAGAGGCTGCCTGGAGGGCGGGGGGCTACAGCCCTCAGGCCAGGGGTTGCTGCCGAAGCCTCGGTGGAGGCCGGTACCCCCTCATCCAGCTGCCGCCTGGGCCCTGGAACCCTGTGGTACCTGCCAGCAGGGCACATCAACCCTGACACCAGGCAGGCACTGAGAAAGGGCCCAGGGTGCTGTGGACCTACTTCAAAAGAGCTATCCCTTCCCACATCCCAGCACCCCCCAATCCCTCCTGTGAAATCTACCTCAGAGTCGTACCCTCAGAAGGACGGGCAAGCAGGAGGCTAGGGGATCCCCAGGGCTGAGGTGGGGAGCTTCCTACGGCAAGAGTCTGCCGCCCCACGATGAATCCACCCCCCTCCACTGCGATCCTCTCTCGGGGCCTCGCGCGGGGCAGGGCCCGCGCATGTACCATCCGGATCCAACACGTCAGCGCCACTTGCCCAGCCCTTCCCTCCTCCTGGGCAGCAGCGAGAAGCGGGCATCAGGCAGGGCAGGGACATGCAGCCTGGCCCCCAGCCCAGGGAGAAGGGGCCAGGCACCGGAGAGGGGATGTGGGGGGAGCCCCCCCACCAAGCGCTCTGAACAAGCTGAAAGTCCAAATAAAACTGACCTGTTCCATCTGCGCCCCGTCTGTGCACTCCATGGCTGGGGGTGTGGGGGGCTGGGGAACGGCGGCGGCTCCAGGGGCACAGACATGGGAGGTGGGCACCTGGGACCCTTGTCTGTCCTGTAGTAAGGCTGCACACCAGCCAGGTAAGTGGTTGCGGGTGCTGATGCTGGGAAGGAGTTTATTAGTGACAAGGCAGCCACTGTGGGTAACTTCCATGGCAAGACGACCCCCCCCCCCGACATACCCACAACCCCCACCCTGAGCCCATGTCAATCTCTCCAGATCCCTTCGTGGTGGCCAGAGTCTTGACACGTGGGATTCAGGGATGGAGGGTTTTCCTGGACTCACAGCTACAGCAAAGGGGGTGTGTCCTCCGGGACCAGTCTGGGCGCCCCCAAGAGGACGGGCAGCCAGGATCTGGGTCCTCCTGGGCTGCACGCAGGGGACAGGCCTGTCTCAGGATCAGCAAGTCCTTTGAAAGTGCCACAGGCTGGGAGGTCACAGGGTGAACCCTAACTGACCTCTGCTCTCCCTGGAGCAGTGCCCTCTGCAGAAAGGCCTGAGCTGCCGGCCCAGTCCCTTGGGTGCCTGTTGTTCCAGGACGCCCCTTTGGGTCAGGGCTTCACCCCAAAGAAGGGGGTCAGAGAGATAGTCCAGCCCGTAAGGTCCAGCCCTTGGATGCGATCAACCTGAATTCCCTATCCAGCACCACGCATGGTCTGGAGTAAGCAGAGTCAGGAGTGAGCCTTGAGCACCTCCAAGTGTGGCATCCAGACAAGCAAACAAGAAGCCCAAGATGGGGACAGTGGCTCAGTGAAGAGGTGAGATTGAGCTCAAAGTGCAGGGCCATCACCCACCCCAGCCCTGAACCCACCTCCACCTCACACTCACCCTCCCCAGCTCCTCACCTAGCCCCCCCACCCCTGCCTCTGAGAGTCACCCCAACCAACCCCGTGCCCAGCTAAGTGCCAGCAGAAGGGAGATGGCTGCTCTGTGGGAGAGGGCTCCGCTGATCATAGGATAGGGTCTTTGGACCCCCTGCCACATGGGTGCCCAGTGTCCCCCGAGCTGTGCCATCTGAATCCACACACAGGTCTCATCAGTGAGTTGGGGCTTTCCCACAGACACAGGCCTCGAAAGAGTGGACAGTGGATGGCTTGGCATGAGCAAAGGCAGGGCCAGGGTCCGGGAGCTACATGTGGTCCTCCACATTTGTAAAGGTGGGGGGAAACCAGGATTTCAGGGTGCCCTGTCACTGGGTGAAGGGGCAGGGGACGTGGGGGACCGACATGGGCAGCCTGATTCCTGGCTTCCAGGCACCTGGTAAGTAAAGTTGCTGGGCCTGGAGGAAAGCAGGAAGGGGAGGCCCAGGCCCTTGCCAGCCGCAGCCTTGGGGCTGGATAGATAGTGCAGGGGAGAGATGCTTGCCTCAGACATGGCCCACCCAGTTTGATTCCAAGAATTGCATAGACCCCTGAACCCAGAGCCAGAATTAGCTTCAAGCTCTGCTGAGTATAAAGCCCAAACTCCAAAACAAAAATTAAGAACCGCAGCCTTGGGGCTGGAGCAATAGTATAGTGGGGAGGGCGTTTGCCTTGCATGTGACCGACCTGAGTTCAATCCCTGGCATTCCACATGGTCCCCCAAGCACCTCCTTGAGTAATTCCTGAGTGCAGAGCCCTGAGCATCGCTGGTTGTGACCCCCCCCCAAAAGAAGAACTGCAGCCTTGGGCCAGAGAGATGTCAATGGGCTGGGGTGACCCCCAGTACCACATGGGTTCTCCGACACCCCAGGAGTAATCTCTGAGCACCAAGACTGGAGGAGCACCCAGACCCTGCCAGATGTACCCCCAAGACCAGAAACAAGAACTGTTGCCTTCCAAGGAGAGGGTATAGAGGTGTGGGGAGCCCTGCCATCCCCCCACCTCCCAAGCAGGGCTGAGATCAGACACAGGCTGCCCAGTCAGGCTGCTCCCCACAGGCTGTGGGGGACCACGGAGGGCAAATCTTGAGGCTTTGGAAGTTGGGAGGGCAACTTTGAAGCAACCAAGTAGAAAGAAGCCCTTTCTGAGGGTGCAGAAGACCTACTCGGGGTCCCATCCACTGTCCCCAGTGCAGACCTGGGGCTGGACATGGGGCAGGGGGACCCCCCTGAGACGCCCACACCCCACCTCTCTCCAGTTCTGGGTCCTCCTCTCTAGGTTTTTCACCCACCTGCTGTCCAGTAGGCCTCCCAGCATCATCTGGGGGAGAACCTGCAGCCCGATCTCTCCCCTGCACTTGCTCCCAGTGAGAGGCCCCCGGTAGTGGAGACCCCCATCCATATCCTGGGTCCCTGAAAGGCCGTGTCGGTGGTCAACTGAGGAGAGCAGCAACTCTTGAGAAGCACGTGTGTGTGTGTACATATGTGTGTGCATGTGCATGTGTGTGTGTGTGTGCATATGCGTGTGTGTGTGCATGTGCGTGTGTGAGAGAGAGGGAGGGAGAGAGGGAAAGAGAAAGAGGGAGAGGGAGAGGAGAGAAGCTGATCGCTAACAAAGGGCGGGGTGGGGGTGTGGGTGAGTCAGCCGTGTTAATGAGAAACACTTCATCCCGCTGATTAGGACTAATAAAAAACAGGGGGTGGTGTGTGTGGGAGTGAGGGCTTCACCCTCTGACTGTCTGTATGGGGAGCTGGCAACAGGACCGGATGGCTCCCCCCGGCCCATTTCTCCACCAGCATGAACTAAGATCGGAACCAGGGTGAGCCCAGGAGGGCAGAGGCTCCTAAGGGGAGCGAGGGAGCATCGGCATCTGGGGACAGGTCACAGGGAGAGTGTGGGTGGCCCCTAGCTTCCTGCCCCTTATTTCTCTGGGTTGATGCCAGAGAAATTCTTCTTGGCACCCATGGGGGATGCTCCCTGCTCACCCTAGCGAGAGTGAATCCCCTCTGCAGAGGCTTGGGGAGCGGCTGCGAAGGCCTGCGTCTGCACGCTCCCTCTGCTGCCCATGCAGTGCCCCGGGCAGCTGGACTGTCCCGGGGAGGCCGGCAGGGAAGGGCCAGGAGGGGCTGGAGTTGCAGGTCCCCTAAGAAGCTGCAGCCTCACGCGCCCTCCATGCCAGTTCAGCCGGGGGCACCTCATCGGTTGCTCTGGTGTGGGCTTGGGGGGAGGGAGGACAGGATGGGTGTCGGCCAGCACCTCCAACACCTCCTAATTTGCATTACCACTGACACCCTTCTTGACCAAGAAAATGGAGCCAGAAATAACAGGGATGGTGGGGGGGGGGGGGGGCGCAAGGCTCCCTGGGGTAGGGGGACTTTGAGGCTCTTCCTTCCACGCTGGGGTCAGGAGGTCAAGCCTTGGCCAGCTCCCCGCAGGGGAAGCACATCCGGGCTACCACCCTCTGTGGATGGGGTGCCCACTTCCCTGGCCTCTCCTGTTCCTCCTCTCTGGAGAGCCCCTCAGCCCCCCTCACTGAGCTGTGCTGAACTGGCTCCCTCACTAGCCCGGGTCACATTGCTGTCCCCAGCGCAGGGCCCCAGCAGCTGCTGCCACCAGCACCTGGGAGGGCCCAGCAGTGGCCGGAAAGTTTGTGTGGTCGGTCTCAAAGGGCATAAGGTGCCTCAGACCCTGTGGGGAAGCCTCGGGGCTCGGGGGCAGGGGAGGGGAGACCATTGCTCTGCACAGAGCCGCCTGTCCCCGTTTCCTTGCAGGTGGGGTCCGGGTGTTGGGGATCTCTGGAGAAGAGATCAGGACTGTCCCCACACTTCCTCAGGGACAAGGGAGATGGCTCCAAGGGCTGAGCTCCCACTGGGCAGCCGCCATCCCGAGCTCCCTATGGGCCTGCTGAGTCCCACCAGGAGTCACCCCCTTCCCTACACCAAGCCAGAAACAGGCCCCTTGTGTGGCTCCAAAATCGCAAAAAGGGGGGGTCACCACCCGTTGTGGTTAGGGTTTTACACACAACAGTGCTGGGGGCCGTGCAGGGCTGGGTGGCCGACCCCTGGCCTTGCCCACCCTGCTCGAGCTGAGTCATCCCCTGGCCCCCACCTGAGTATTTCTATCCTCTGTCCCAGGGGACGGAGACCCCCACAGACATCTGTGCTTCCGTTTCCGTCCACCCATGTGCGCTCTGCTCCAAGAGGACAGGAGTGCCGGGCAGCCCCTCTCGGGGGCGGGGTGGGGAGCAAGGCTGCGTCCTGGCCAGGGACTCTGGACTCCACAGTGTGAGGGCAGAGCGGAGGCAAGGCCGAGCAGAGGGGCCTGGCGGGGAAACCAGGTCGCGAGAGACAGCCGGGAGAGCTGTGAACACACCGTGGAGGGAGCGAACGATGAACCCAGAACTCCCCCCCGCCGGCCCCCCTCCAGAGATGCTATTTTGGAGGGAGAGAAAATATGCAGTGCAGTGAGGGGGGATGCCAGCACCCCCACCGGAGCCAGCGGGACCACCTGCTGCTTCCTTTCTGCAGAACCCACCCTGCCCTCCCAAGAAAACCTCTCTGGAGCCCTGAGAAAACCGGGTGGAGAGCCCCAGAGGAGGCTCGGGGGTCAGGGGTCCCCGCTGAAGGGGCCGCGGGCTCCAGCCCTCAGGAGCTGCTCCCATTTTAGTTACCTCCTTGGAAGGAAAACCAGGGCAGGACACAGCAGGCCCGAGCACTTCTGAGATGAATGAACGAACTTTCATGGGCCCCCCTCCTCAGGTGTTGGTGTCCCAGGGGTGTCCTCAGAGGTGGGTCAGAGCTCAGCGCCCCGGCCGGTGCCACGGATGGCGGTGCTCTGAGGGCCGTGTGGGGCTGGTAACCAAACTCAGGGCTTCCCACCTGCTGGGTGGGGGCTCTGCCACTTGAGCCATCTCCTGGGTCTGGGGGCCCCTCAAAGCAGTGCTGGGGCAATATTTGCACCTGCTCCCACATCCCCAGCCCCCACCCCCCATGTTGAATTCAGGGCTTGTGTGGATGCTTCTTATCCCCACCTTCAGACCGAGGTGCATGGATCTGCCTTTAGCATCAAACTTAGAAAGCAAATTTGCTGT